CGCTGCGACTTACTCGATGATAAACCGGCCATACGATAGCGCGTACAATGTGTGTGATGTTCCGTGTATGAGACTCGATGATATCGCGCTCGCTCGTTCCTTCCACGCCGTGCACCGCGAATCCACGGCGCGTGAAAACAAATCGACAAATTGTAGACTGACAGACAGCAAACAGACGAGGGGGCGACGCGGCACTCCGCTTTAGGTCATATACCGCATCACGGCACGAAGGGCATACAGCAGTTCCGCTTGCATGCGAGCCTCTAAAATCATCAGATTCACGTGGACCTGAAAAATAACGAAAGCGTTATACCTCGCGTTCGCCGCTTATCTCGGCTTTTTTCCCCGCTGCTCTCGCCTATGCAGAAATAACTTTCTCTCGCATTTATGTCTGTCGATGTGCTATAAAAAAGTTCTTACATTTATGTCTTTTATTTTATAAAACAAACTTTATCAAGAATACTAAGTGGTTAATTCTTTATGCACAATGTGTTTATGAGCGAATGTTAATCTGCTATCGCACCAACTAAGAGGCTATTTTTAGCCGGGCTTGGCGAGTGCTTCGTACTCAACTGTAAAGCTCATTTGTATAAATCGCTGGTTCATTTAAATTTCTACCAGATCTGACATTTCAAAGTGGAAGGCGCGACTTTATCGCATTTCTATCAGGGGGAATTGTATATACCCTGAGTCATTGTTTCATTTCGAAATAAAAAGATGTTTATTCGGCGAGTCATTTTACTTTTCAATCGAATTACTTCGATCGAACGGAATATCCATTTGGAAATACACTCACCTTTTCGCTGTGTTTGAACTCTCTCATGACACGATCGTAATCCCTCTTGGTGACGCGCTCCGGATAGCAAACGGCGCTCTTAATGAAGGTTTTGAGGCTGCGCTCGAGCAATTGGTTCACCTCGTTGTAATCATAATCGTCGTGCCTGATGCCGAACATACACTGTATGTAGTTCCATATCGCTCGACGGAAGCGCGACGTGTCGACCTTGCTGTGCGTACCCATGGTGTAGTACGTCAGGTTGTACGCGGTCTTGAACTTGTCATCGAGGAGATTGCCGACGTCGTTGTACAGACGATTCACCAGAGAGTAGCCGTGATCGTCCCAGGAGTAATCCTGAACGCGGAAGGTCGGTATGTCGTTCAGCTGACCGCGCTGCAAGAAAAAAGAATCGCGTTGAAGGAGATAAAACGGCGCCAACAGGCGCAAAAAAGAGGACTGCGTTTAGAAAAGGTCATGAAAGACGACAAAGTTGTGTGGGGAAAAAAGAAAAAAAGAAAACAAAGTGGATATTATACTTGATTTATCCGGAGAGGCGACTTTTTATCTCGCATATTAATGCGCGGCGTGAGCGCCACGACTGCCTCTCCTTCGTCAGGCCGTCTTAAGTCAGGCGGCCGATGCACAATGTTGTCGCGCGGTAAATATTCATCGCAGTTACGCGAGCGAGCCGAGCAGCGCCGGTGCTGCTTAAATATTCATGGATGAGCTACAAATTACCTTGGAATATCTTTTCGGTGCTAATCCATTACGCTTACACACGAAACAACGCGCCGCTGAATAATAGGGAGAGATTGCGAACAGCGCTGGCGTTTATTAACACAAATGAACAAAGTCCAATGAAGATACGGTTTTACAGTTAGCGGCGGGGGAGTTACGGGAGGCTCACCTTGGCGAAATCCTGATAGATGAAAGTGGGATCCTCAATAAATAGACCGATGTCCGAGTCGAGGACCGTGGTGTTCCGCTGCGGCGCCGCGGCCAGTTCGGCCGACTGCGTCTCAACGGTCTCGAATCTTTTGGATAGCTCCTCCTGCGTGATCTGGTGGGACTCGGACTTCTCCGAGAGACGTTTCATACGTTCCATTAGAGTCTCCACACCGACCTCCTGCTCGCCGACTATGCTCGGTGACGACGGCGGCGACGGCATGGTTTCTGCGTGAACGGAGATGACTTGATATCGCGGAGCTGCATACAATTTTCACGGCGCGATAAGCACACGTGAGCTAGATGTGTGTGTGTGTGTGCATATTATAACTCGAGAAACTCGTTTTCTCGCGGTAAGTCAAATTACAAAAATTATTTTCAAGATTAAGCGTTGTTCTCAACCTGAATCATTCTCGCGCGCTCAATAGAGCGTGAATTTTGAGAACAGATAACTGTAACTCCAAAACATATTTCTCGAGTTACAATAATTTCATTCCGCCGACTATTTATCAGTGTCGATATAATATTTAAATATGATACTCACCGATCTTGCCGTCGCTGTTCGGGATCTTCTTAGGACTGCTGGTGAGATTATCTTTGGCAGGCGGAACCGCCTTACTGCTGTCCTGAATGTTCTTGTAATGATGGCCGGTGACGTTGTCCAGCTCCTCATTAATTCCGCAAGAAAATACGAAAGACGACAGCGAGTGGAAGTGAGCTAGTAGGACGATCGCGTGGACAACCTCGCCCAAGGACCAGTTATCGTCGCCCTTGGCCAATTTCTAAAAATACACGTTGCGTTAATCGGCAGCTCCGCGAACAACACCACGATGATTTCGCGAACAATCCTCGCAAGTTCTGCTTCTTGCTTACCTCTATGTGCGATTTATTCAGAAGCCACGGTCTGTGGGCCAGGATCTTGTTGATCTCGTAGAGATCTTGCAGCCTCCTTGGAATCGATTTCAGGCCTTTCAACCACGAGGGATCGCCGTTCTGAAGAAGAAACTCTGTCTTCTGCAGGTTTATAAGGTAGCTACACTGGTGTCTACCGGCGGCCTGGAATCACACCAAGACAGATCACCAAACCTGTTCCCTCTCATTTATCTCTCGCTTTATTCGCGCGCGGTACTTAATGCCACCTTTCGTCCACCATGTAGTCATCTCTCGTATTCCGAGATTGTTGCCCATTAAGTCGTATGTCATTTTCGAAAGAATTTTCAAACCCTTAAATGGTCTTGAAAAAAGATTTGCAATTCTGCGGACATCCATTAATTGATTGACAAACACGAGACTTAATCGAAGGAGACAATAATTTATACGATAATCCACACAAAAATGTATAATTTATATAATATATACTCGTATGCATCGCGTAAATCTTAAATGTTTATAATGCCTTACGTCGAGTAATGTATTATTAAATACAGCCTAATCAATGCATCCCGCGGTGCATATTAAATCAACTAATTTATGGTCGCCGTTAAGCTTCGACGGCGCGCGGGCCCCGTAATCTAGATTATCGTGCTCACCTCAAGCTATACATCACAATAAGCAGATCTACAAGCCCACGGAATTAGCCCGCAGATAATGCCCGACGATAAGATACTACCCGCGGGGAAAATAAGCGCGAATAAAACGCTGAGCGATGCGCGCGAATCAACCGGGGAGAGCAATTTCGACCCGCGAGGAATTTCTATTCGAATCTCCATTCAGCGCCGGGCCGCCCCGCCGTCGCATGCATTATTGCCGTCGTTCGCACGTGTATTCGCGCGTACGTGTGCGTGCGATATCGCGCATCGCGCGCGATAAACGGTGGATTTCCCGTTGCACAAATTTTCGAGGACGAGCGTCGAAGTTATTGGCTCGATTTTGAGCACAGGCGGGCGCGAGGGGGGGAGGAGGGTGGAGAAAGAGGGGTGGCAATCGGCGTGCCGCAAGCGTTTTTCAATAACAAATTTCGATCGGCGGTGGAGGCGAATTGACGGCGACGTGATGATGCATCGGGGCGCAAAATTACGCGAGGTCGCGCGGCCGGCAATATCGCGCGTTATCGCGCGCACGATCGTTTCTAGGACGTGTCAAACGCATACCGTTTCAGGGATAAACGCACTGTGTTTAATCCCTCAACGACGTATCGAATAAATTCTCCAATTTTTGCATCAACGAAAACCAGAGAAGTCAAGTCTTTATCGTAGAGAGAATTAGTTTCGAGCTTGATTGAAAAACTAACTAAAAACTCAAATAATCGACGAATAAATATCGGTAATCGAATAATGTAATTAAAAAATATCACCGTACACACGAAAGAATCAAACATTGAAAAATCCGCTGATAAATCCACGTTTCCGTTGAATGCGATACAAAAACGTATAATCACGTGACCGATGTCAAAGGAAATGTAAACTTCCGCGCCATGAAAAATATATTCGATGATGCGGCTAGGTTTCCCGCGAAAAGGGAAAATCCACTTTTGCAAATTTAATATACATTTTTTTTGTAGCCGCTGTTATTTGAGGGTTAAATCGCCTGACGCGAACTCGGCAGTGATCTATTTATTCGCACATGAGTAACTTTGCAAAGCCCGCGGGGCATGGAACGCGTCGGTTTAACATACCTGACTCGTCATTTTGTCAACCGGGAAATTTTGCGTGGGCGACGGATGCAGCGCGATCCTGACGAGACCGATTGATCAACGTGACGGGACATGGTAATATCATGATAAAGAGCGGTAAGAGCGGATAAGAATGAAGAAAAAAGGGAAAATACAACGGAATAAAGGCACAGAAAGGCTGAAAGTGAGAACGAGAGGGGACGAAAGAAAGAGAGAGAATGCAATGAAGACACGCAACAAGACACGTGTTCGTCTTCAGAGCTACAAATCAATCGTATCAAGAGTCACGATAAGAGAAAATATATCGGTCTCGAGAAACATGGCGGATTTTCCTAGATAACGCGAAATAAAACTCATAATCTAATGATGTAATCTATTAATAATTTCGCTATTTATCAGTCTGACTGCGTGGGGCGATTTATATACGCCAACGAGATAGAAATTTCGCGATTTCGCAAGACGCGATGCACGTCGGCGTTATCAGTGCACATCGAGATTGATCAAAAAAAAAAAGGTTAAAGTATCTGCATCTATCTTATCGCGTAATCGATCAGCAATCCAGATGCAGGCACAACGCCAAATTTATCGATTATGGAAATTTGAACGTTTATATCAGAGTTTCGCGAGGAACAATTGCCATAAAATATCTCGTTCGTCTCGAATTTACCAGGCGATGTTTCTGTTTTCTTTTCTTCTTCCGTCGCGGATTATCACGCGGCAAATTGGGAAAATAATTAAACATCGAAAATAGTATGTTACCTCAGCGCGGAGAAAACAATATGTACGCAAGCGTAATCATGCGCATGAGGGAAACATGTGTAATCGTATTTCAGAGCAGATAGCCGATATTGCGATATCGAGTCGCATAACCGTGATTGAGATATATCTTTACGAAAAACACATCCTGTTTTTTTTCAATCGTCGTACCTTTGATACCGCCGATAACCCCACGCTGTGAAATTACGGGCGGTGCGATAATGATAATTTCGCCGGAGCGTTTCGTCACGCGAAATTGTGACCCTCGCCTGATTCGTTTAATCAGAAAACCGTTTTCTACACGCTTTTATCGAGGAAAGCCGAGTGAGTTGGCAAATTTGTTAACTCTATTATAGTCATTGATAACAAACATTGATAATCAAATGCACTTTACACTCGCCTTAATTAACAGCCATAAATTCAATTCACGATAGCGAAAGATACTTATCGTCGACGACAGTCCGGTATATTTCCTTTCATTTAAGCCGTGCGTGACGCCTGAGATATCTCATCCGGACAATAATAGAATACAATTTCAAGAGTATCAGAATAAGCGGAAGGTGAAGCGGCAAAATTATTTCGTTGCAAATATTTATATTTCAAAAGTTTCTAGATTCTTACATAAATTATTTATCGCGATCTTTAATGCAGCGCGATGTAATCGGCTTTCTAAAAAGAGCCGAGCAAATTTTGAAGAAGCGAGTCCAAGCACACCGAATGAAATGTTTGTCCGTAGGAAAGCTGTTTTTCAGATACCTTATCATTTTATCGCGCTCATCCACGTGTGACCGGACTAACAATTTGCTTCGTCCGCGTCCCGCCCGCCCGAGATAAAGTGTTTTTCGATTGATCGTGCGCGTACAGGTGATATTTCGTCTATCGCACCGGTCTACCGGCAGGCCTCGCGGATTATCAAGCCGAGATAACTCGAAGATCGCGCTCCGAGATTGCGCGAGGAATGTATGACAATCAAATTTAAATTGAACAAATTCAAATATCGAAATAACACAAATACAGTTCTCGATCCGAGACCTGTCGAAATGTAATTTCAAGTTTACGAACTGCTCGTATTTGTCAGCTTAACGTGAAATCCAACGCACGATGATTCGCGTCTACGTATCCTTCAAAGGCGGAAGCTGCAACCTCAATATTCTATCCTGCAGAGATAGCAATTTTGCAGCGTGAAATTTTGCAATAAACAAAATCAGCTGCGACGAATGCTCGTCAAGCAGCCGTTAACTCGACAATTCAGAGTAAAGAACCAGTTTGCAGAATCTGCATACCCGCTCTCGCATTTAAGCCGCGAGTGTCTAACAACAGAGTTCTCGCTGGTTTTATACTTAACATACATCCACGGAAATGCATTCAATTGCCAATTATGCATTGGCTAATCCGGGCTCGCCTCTAAAGAAGAAATAAGATCTTAATCGAGGAACGAGTTCTTTGACAAGCTGTCTCAATTTTACAGAGAGAGCTAAAAAAAACCGAAATCCAATAAACTTGCTTCAATTGAAAACGGACTGCAAAAAACAAGCGAAAACACTCTCTGAAATTTTACGGAATATTTTTGTATTTATAATACGAAGAGCAAAAATATTGTATGGTGACGCATTTCTATCTTATTTGTCGCGAATTTCCTACAAAATAAAGCCGGCAACGCCATTTTATCTTGCTACTTGTAGGTGCGTTATCTAGACAAGCCTGTTTCACGCGACAAGTTGGTTTCTAAACGATAAACGATATTAAAAAATGTGGGCTTATTTGATTTATGTACAGAAACCTTTGACTGATCGATTGGACACTTAGCTACGTATTATTTATTATCCACGCTTGCCCAATAAAATTAATTGAAAAAACGTCAAACACCGTTTTACTAACAAAATATAAAACAATTTTCTCGCTATCAAGCTCACGCTTATATTTCAATTGTTCGCTTTGATTTATGTTTTAACTATAATAGTATAATTATAGTTGCAGAAAATATGTTTTCAAGATGATTACACGTGTGCGTTTCTTTGTATCCGAGAGATAAGATTACATAATATACCACAAACAAGCGAAGTGATGCAAGAATAGCTCAACGCGAATAAGCGAATGAGGATTGTCAAGTGGTAAAGATCATAAAGGAACGATTAATGTTATTTTTCTTATCTTCATCAACTCTTTTTCACGAAAGAGAGAAAGAGAAGTGGAGAACGTATGTGACATTACGAAACGCACACGCGTTTCATTTATTCACAGTTTGCGATAACATTTGACCCGGTGATCTGTTGTCGCTCGTCGAGGGTGATCGGGAAGCTTCAGAGAAAAGATGACGACCATCATTGCGATGAAAGAACGCCTCGCTTTGTAAACGAGAATTCTCTCCACGCGCATAATAAATTATTAATCTACTAAATTGTGTATTTTGCGAGAGAAAAAAAACGTTTCCAACAAAGTAAACTCTTGTCTAAGATCTTGTTGACAATCGCAAAAAAGAATCAAACGTTTAAAAAAATTATTTGTGCAAAATTGTGGATTCAATTAAATATTACTTTTAAGAAAGCGCAAATAAAATCGCAAAAATGTGTTTAAAAATCAATTGATAAAGTGCCAAAAATTCTCTCACCCAAATGTCAAGAAATCTTGTCGGTAATTAATAGACAATCGAGAAAAATATGTATTGAATTTACGAAACTTTGCAAAAAACGAAATCAATAACTCACCATAATGGCAATAAGATGTCGGTAATCATAAGGAAGTGGTCCATCGTTCCGCAGGATGAAGTTTTGGGTTCGATTGAAATGCTCCAGATATGCTGGATGCGACGACATTACTCTCGAGATGTTATCCAGCCTAGTGTTCTGGAGAAAGGTATCCATAAACAACACATGTGTCTGTAACAATAAAGAAACGTTATCGTTAGTAAAAGTGTCGCATTACACACTAAATGAAGAAGAAGTTTGCGCATTTCGAAAGTTAAAAAAATACTTTTTATAGAATAATAGTTTCGCTCTGTACAGAATCGCTGTGTGGATGATCATCGACTATTCACGCGCTTCTCCTCGAATTGTTAAAAATAGAATCTTAGAATCTTGTTCGTCAGATTTTCAAATAGAAAGATTTGTTTCCGCATTAGCATATCTCCGGTAACTGGTCGTGTTATTTCCGTTGAACCCGTCCCGTTACTCGTATCTGCTTTGAGAAACTGCCACATGCGAACAATTTTGGGCATTAGAAATCGCGCGGAACATATTCTCATACATGTGTTATGGTGATCGATGCTTCGTCGTGTTTATTTCGCAGCTCACATTACTTCGGTTACAAAGAGCGCGAAGGCAACGCCAATCGCGATATTAATTATTGCGGTGATGATAATGTCAACGCGTTCGCCGAGAAAGAAGCGAGTTTTCGGATCATCCGATCCTCGCAATCAGGTGTTTGCGTTGCATCATTCGCCAGTGACAACAGCTCGTCTTGACTGCCACTTTTTAACATATTGCTCACGTCTCAGTATGCGCGTCACGAGAGGTGGAGATCGCAACTAGATAGATATCGGTATAAATTATAGCTCCATACACACCAAACACGCTACATTAAAGCATCGTATTTAATGACCGTTATTACATTCCACAATCCGTGATTGCTCCTTAATCGATTGCCACAGTAAACAATATATCGATACGAAATTATTACATGAAGCGCGAGCAAAAAAATATTGCAAAAACAATAAGAACGCGTAATGCACGGCATAAAATGATAGCAAAGCGATTGTGAAACGAAGATTATAAATAACTTTGTCAACTATTCAGTTGCGCAATATTAAGAATTCCGCAAATTAAATATCCCAAGATAAATATTATGAAAATTTTGCGCGCTTCCGGGAATTTTTCGAGTTTATTAACGCAAATTAAAGACAAACATTTGCATTCCTAGACAACGTGGCATAATTCATCACTAGAAAACAAGCGTGATAACTCGTCGCGATTTTTTTTCACCCAGTCACGTTTCACTACGTAATGCAATTTATTAGATACACTTTGTTAATATTTATACTTTATCAGTTTCTCGCTGCCGCGATATTGAAATCGACTCATCCATTACGCGTATTCGCCCCCCCGTCGGACTCGAGGGGGCGGCTTCCGCCGACCGAAAGAGTGCTGGCCGATCGATTGGCGCTGACGCAATCACATTTAGGATCGCTTGAAATGCATCAAAGTAAACATATGGATAAACAGTCGCCCGTCATGCGAGAGGCGCATGCCGCGAGTCGGCGCACGTGCTCGCACTCCGTAACGGAGATGGAGTCCTCATGGAAAGTCAATTAGTTCCAAAGTTCGGACTCGAAATTCTTTATCTTCCACGAGGCAAGGTTATTTCGCACAAAAGCACTCTCGCATTCGCATTCCTTTCGACTAAACAGTACTAGCGGCAAAGACTACCTCTTCCGCATGCGAGCGAGAGCACTCCCTCTCACGCAACGCTCATTTGCCTTTCTTATTGTACGCGACGACGCACAAAGGAAGCAGACGGAGTGATTCCGCAGCGACGAGCTGTGCGCTTCGTCAAAGTTTGCAAGATTTCAGCGGCTTAATGCAGAAGTACTCTACTCGGAAGATACTGCGAAAGAAGTTTCAATAATAAACTCGCATGAGCAACGGAATTATGCCGGAGAAATCCCGCTTTTCATCGAATCCTCGCGATTTCTCAACAATTCAATAACGAACTCGCGATATTTTTATCTCCGCGTACTAGTCATCGATCAATCAAAGTGTATCGATATATACCGCGTCATCCGTGCTTATTAGCAACAGGAAAAATATTTCCAGGAAACCGTCTTATCGATATTTTCATGCTGGTAATCCGATATTATTCATCTGTATTGAAATAAAGACCGATAATGAACACCGATCGCAGCTAATGAACACTATTGAGATACTTACAGCGCGGCTTACGCTGCTGCGAGCAGATTGAAAGTAAGTAGCTGTGACACGAGTGTACACAAATGCGAGCGCGATTTGTCCCACAATGATGTGGTCGACCTTGTAATGGGTTGCTAACCTGTGCATACAAACGCACACGCGCGAAAGGCTTTTCACTTTGACGCCGGGCTTTCGCCTCGGGGGAGAATATTAAACGGTGTTCCGGCGGATGTACGCGAAGACGCAAGCGGGACGCACGCGCGTTACGTTATACACCACCCGTTATAACTGTCGTAGAAAAACCGACCCAGCGGGACACCGGTATACGTGACGAATCGTGTGCCGGTCACGACGCGATCGAACGCGGCTGGCTCGAACACGACGAATCGTTCGTTATCATTCCTAATCAGATTGCGATTGAAAAACACTAGACGGTTTATTAACATACGCTTTCTTCAAACGCGATCGTTAACGCGGTCGATTTCACTGCGCGACCGCTCGGAGTAAACAAGTAAAACGAAGGGAGAGCTCGAGCATGGTCGTGGTGGTTTTTTTTTTTTTTGCGTAAAGGATCGCGCGGATCACGCTGTTTTTGACCTCGTTTAAAAATCCTTCTTACTAGCAATGTGTTGTCAATAATATTGTTCATTGCTGTGCATTTTTTTAGCATTCAAAGACATTGTAGATGTAAACAAATAAAAAATACATTAAGAAAACAAAATTAATATGTGTTAAACAGCTTATTACAGCTTGAGATTTTAAAAAAACCCAGTTATTTCCGGATTAAACGTGTTTACGAAGCTTAAATTATCGCCGTGGAATTAATCGACAATTTAAGCGGAGGCCTTCGGCTGATTATTATTATTACATGTTTGTCATGAGACGAGCTTAGCGAATTCCTGTATTAATATCGCGCAATCAAAATCGAAATCAATATAAATGTGTAACTGTATTTCGTAGGATTTTTAATCGGATGTGATCAATAAGCGCGCGAAAAAGAAAAAACATCGTCTTTATCTTCTCATATCGCATCTCGTAAAAATAAATATCGTTTGCCGTCTCGTTGTGTAAAATTCATGCTAGACATTCGATCAGTCGGAGCGCACATATGCTATGTCTATGTACTTATGTATATTTACGTAAATTTATGTAAATTTATGTACGGCGATCTCTTCATTCCAATTCATTTACCTGCTGCGAGGAGTTTTGCATCTCAGAAAACTATCACATTTTCTCTATATTCTTCTCACACTGTATTTTGTGTTCTTCTTACGTTTTTTTTTTTCTTTTCTTTTATATTTTATGATACAATTTTGCATTTCAAATTTCCTTAAATTTAGAATAAAAAGTCAAGTTTATTTTGGACATGAAGCAATTCCGCGAGAGACACATTCTCTCTCGCAACGTCTACGCTGTGTTGTCGCAAATCGCGGCATCAAGAGTAGATCGACAGCGGCGACACCGGTGGACTTGCCACCGTAGATAGATAACGTGTATTTAATAACTGAAAGTCTCGTTAAGGGAGCTGGCTCCCGAATCGGCCGGTCTATTATTAAACGACGACGGCATTCGTCGCCGGCCGGTTTCAACGCGTCGGCGGAAATAACAAATTACTCGGTGTCAGTTAGCCGGCGTGGCAGCCGGAGATCGAGAGCACAGTCCAAACACTCGAGACTATACTCGATACTTTTCGACGGAATTTTTCAGAATCCGAGAATGCCTCAAGAGGAAAAATATCGAGAGAAAGAGAGAGAGAGAGAGAGAGAGAGAGAGAGAGAGAGAGAGAGAGAAATTTGCATACCTCGTTAATCGTGAGTCATCTGTCTAATGTTTGTCCAGAAATATATTTTACAGTTGCATTTTATCGACTGCTTTATAGGTTTTCTGCTTGCGATTATCGCAAGCAACACTCACGCGAACTTGAAATTAATATTACAACCGGCGATTATATAACAACTATTGCTTCGCTACGTAAACATCCGCTTGATGACTCGTTCGCGAGATGCTAATTTTAAGTATGCGTTGCGTTGACGAGTGCATCGAAAAAAAAAAAAAAGAGAATAGAAGAAAAACCAGTAACGCACACACCACAATTCTTCACACGTTCCCGTCGGCAATCGATAGTAGTCATTAACCGTTATTTAACGCTCGACCTGGCGCGGATCACGACAAAGTTGTTAAGTTGTTTTCAACATTATTCTAATTCCGCGTGCTTTTTTGTCGGTTAAATCAAGCATTAAATATTCATCGTATGATATCTTTCAGCGACCGGTCGCGAGAGACCGTCGCTGCTTTATCATCCCAATCTAACCGGAACAATTTCATTGATGAAGTTATTTGTGTGAGCATATAAGCCGCGCGAATTATTCTCATGTATTCCGTCGCAATTTCCTCGCTGACATTACGATCCGAGATAACGGCGATTGAGGCCGGGTATAATTTCGCCCTGGGTTCAATTTTCCAAGTTACAGATAGACAGGAATGACGCTCCGGTGCTTATTTGCGACTATGGAAACGACTAATCTGTAGCGCCGGTGAATTAGTAACACCGGAAATTGAACTGGCCGAAATAGTGCTGGGCCGGCAGTTTCACCTCCTACGAGACAATCGACGTGAGGGCGCGTTAAGGGCCGCAAAAAAGATTCTAGACGATTGCGAGCGATCCGCGGGGAGCCGCGTCGCGAAAATAATCGGACTAACGTCGCAGGACACAGTTACACGTTACTCAATTAACTTGTACGCGCGTTTTGGCAAGTCGTCTCGCGCCCCGTCTCGGCGAAGCCCTCGAAAGACGCAGCCAGCGCGGCAGGCCACCAGCCTCCTTCCGCGAACCCTTTTTTCTGTCTTGGCGAACGCTCCTGGCGATCGGCCCGCGACTCGCTGAGACTTGGTGGCGAGCTCCCTTCTCGGCCACCTCCTCCTCCTCCTCCTCCTCACCTTGCTCTGCCAGAGCGAAGGTTCCGCGCGTCATGTCG